GATTCGATCCCTCTTCAAATAAGTACCAATGATAATAGCACCATGCAAAAATATTGCAGTAGATGTGATACATATCATCCTTGTAGTTTGTTCATTAATAATAAAAAAATTTTCGTATCTGTAATATGTGCCATGCCCAAGACAAAAAAAGAAGTATAAGCAAGAAGCAACTCGAAGAATGTGATAATGAAATAATCGTAGATTTTTATGATTTTTATGATTATATAATGCAGTTTTTTGATCCATTTGAATGTGAAAAAGTAGAGGATCAAGAAAATTTAAAATCTTTAGAATTTGAATTTTCTTGTATTATAAACGTTTCAGCATTAAAAGGTGACTCAAAAGATCAAAGCAATCGTATTATTGAAATTATATCAGATGTAGACGAATATAAATAGATGTAAGTTAAGAGATTAATTTTAAATAAAAGAGTTAACTTATGATTAATTTTATATTAATTATGTAGTTATTATTTAAAATATACAAAAAAAAATCTACAAATTCGATAACTTATATTTATTATTGTTCGCAAAGAAATTGTTTGGCTAAGAAGCCAAAAAAACATGTTGATATTAATAAACATCGTGACAAGCAATCAATTAAACGTTTTTATTGTAAAGGCCAGGTTGCAATTACTATTTCTCAAGATCTTGCATATGCTAATGTAGAGATCTTCATCATCTTCATCCATCCCGTTTAGATAATTCAATTTCTTCAGAAATAAAACAATATATTTTAGATAATATTGATTTACTTCTTTGTGAGATATATAAGCATTTAGTAATAAATGACTTAGATATTAATATACATCAAAAGCAAATTCACTTTTGGTGAATTAAATTTGGTAAAAAAAGATATAAACATAATGATAAAACAGCATCCACTATTTACGTTAAACCAGTACTGTATTGTATAAAAATGGGGACCTTAAAAGTAATGTCATACTATATAGTGTGTTTGTATTATCTTTAATATCTCTATAACAATACTGGTTTAATGTAAATTGTGAATGCCGCCTAATGCCTTTATTTCAACACAAAAATGGTTAATAGAAAAGTCACATTAAATAATATTTCAAAAAAAGTTACCACAAGCATTAGGGTTTTTGACTGAAACATGAGATCTTATAAAAAGTTTTAACATTCAAGTTGATGAAATTGGGGTTGATTTGACATGTAAGTATAATTATT